GTGTTCCAACCCTCGAAACACCCCCTCCCCCTCCTCCCCCTGGATCCGCCAATGCTCCCTCACTCGACGATAATGTTTTGCAGTTCAGAGAACAGACTCAAACTACATGTCATGAATTAGAACGTCTGTATTATATTTATATAGATATAAGAAGATGTGGTATGAGTGCCAATGAGACAACTCTCCATCCAAGTAAAAATTTATAAAAGTAAACCATTATAGGTCACAGTACGGTCTTCAACACGGAGCCTTGGCTCACACCGAACAGTAAGCTATAAAGGGCCCCAAAAAATTTCTATTGTAAAACCATTCAAACGGGAAAACCAACGGTCTAATCTATATAAAAAACGAGAAACGAAAAACACTTATGAACCACATCAACAAACGACAACTACTGAACATCAGATTCCTGACTTAGGACAGGTGCAAACAAATGCAGCGGGTTTAAACGTTTTAATGGTACCAAACCTTCACCCTTTTTCTGAAACAATAGTGTAACATCACAACATAGAAAGACACACTATAAAATATCAACTGAAATAGCTTAACTCAATCAAAGGACAAATTAACACCATTGAGCATACACTGAACAAATAAATTTGACCTATGACACAATGTAAATACAAAATAAATAAACTAAGGGAAGAATAATAAAAGTAACATGTTATATCGGTAAGAAATGTTAAACAATTAAAGAAAAACAATATGCTCGAACAAAAATACCATCCATTTGCAATAACTTTAAACACAGGTAAATGAAAATAATTTTGTTGTTAGGTATACCTGTACAGTACCAATAGAGAAAGGAAATATTTTTACAAAATAAATAATTTTGAATAGTTTTTTATGACATAGCGATATATTGAAAAAAATAAATAAGTCATGCTAGGATTTTCTGTTTATTTTAATTAAAATCAGAATCAGATTCTGAGTCTATACCAAAAGCCTTTAAAATTTTGGAACTTGCTTCCTTATCAATCGGTCATATGCAACTGGTCTCCCAGAAATCGCCTTTTGATGGTATCTTGTGGCTAAGAACATAATTTTAGTCGTGTTATTCGATTTTTTCTCATGTTGCTTGATGTTTCTTCATTCACTATGTCACATACAATTAATGGTATAGTACCGTTGTTGTAGGAGATATTTTCTCCATTGAACTGGCCGTCGCATAACGAGTAATTGTCCTTGCAAGGCTTATGGACAGGACTGCCAAGCGCAGTGGCGGCAGTAGACGGTATATCTCATGCAATTTATCGCCCACAAAATGAGCCACAGGAACAGTTTTATTCCGTACACAGACCTATGCACTGTATTCACACCCAGGTTTTGATTGACAACCAAAACCACATACGACTTGTACGCAGCGGTTTCCTGGGACACCAAAAGGATGCACAACAATTCAACTTAATGCCAGAAATAGGATACGGACTTCAACTTGATTTCATAGAGAACCTTTTTATATTAGCGAGATAGAATATATGCTAACCGTTATCCAATAATAACGAGTTAATGTAAAAAAAATAGCCGACTTAAATGTTTTAAAGTAATTAGTACAATGGGCGTCATCCGCGCTGGAAAATAAATCAGATTGTTAACTTTGCGCTGGTTTGGTAGAAAGAGGGCACAATTTAATTGACTCTTTACTTTATCATGCTTCATTCGACTTTACATAATGCATAATGTTAACGATAGAAAAAATCAATACGTCTTTTGAGACGACCCCTTTAAAATGTTCATCGTCTCTCGACTCTCGTTCGTTGTTTGTCAAAAGTAATCATTTATCTAACACGTCTATTACTGACATGGTACAGGTATTTTCCGAACAAAATATGGATTAATTAGATATAAAAAGATGTGGTATGAGTGCCAATGAGACAACTCTCCATCCAAGTCACAATTTGTAAAAGTAAACCATTATAGGTCAAAGTACGGTCTTCAACACGGAGCCTTGGCTCACACCGAACAGCAAGCTATAAAGGGCCCCAAAAATGACTAATGTTAAACCATTCAAACGGGAGAACCAACGGTCTGATCTATATAAAAAACGAGAAACACTTATGAACCACATCAACAAACGACAACTACTGAACATCAGATTCCTGACTTAGGACAGGTGCAAACAAATGCAGCGGGTTTAAACGTTTTAGTAGGTACCAACCTTCACCCTTATCTGAAACATAGTGTAACATCACAACATAGAAAGACACACTATAAAATATCAATTGAAATGGCTTAACTCAATCAAAAGACATATTAACACAAGTGAACATACACTGAACGAATAAATTTGATCTATATTACAATGTAAATACAAAATCAATAAAATAAGGGGTGAATAAATAAAGGTAACAGTAGTATACCGCTGTGAGATGTTAAACAATTTCAAAAAAACAACAACAAATATGAACAAAAAGCCGCCAAATACAATAATATACACAGGTAAATGAAAATAATTTTGTTGTAAGGTATACAGTTTAAATGGAAAACGGAAATATTTTTTTGTCATAATACGAAGAGGTGAAAATTTATAGTCATACCAAACACTTATCAAAGCTGGTATATAGACAAGATATAACCCTGAATAAGTAAACATTAAATAGCAAAAATGCATTACAAATAGTATCAACAGGTCAAATTAAAATGAAAGTACGATTTGAGAGTACTCGCAGTTACTGACAGCTAGTTAAAAGCCAAAAACAATTAATAATAAAAAATCATGCATCAGAGACTAAACCTAGTTGTATAGATAGCTTAACCTCCCACTTGTATAACAGATATTTATAGTTCCGTTATATTTACAAAATTAGTAGAGCACCCCAAACAGATCTAATTGGTTAATATGACAATAATTGACATCTTGTCGCAAAAACTGTGTAAAAATACATCACATATTTCTATGTTGTGATGTTACACTATTGTTTCAGAAAAAGAGTGAAGGTTTGGTACCATTAAAACGTTTAAACCCGCTGCATTTGTTTGCACCTGTCCTAAGTCAGGAATCTGATGTTCAGTAGTTGTCGTTTGTTGACGTGGTTCATAAGTGTTTCTCGTTTCTCGTTTTTTATATAGATTAGACCGTTGGTTTTCCCGTTTGAATGGTTTTACACTAGTAATGTTGGGCCCTTTATAGCTTACTGTTCGGTGTGAGCCAAGCTTAAGGCTCCGTGTTGAAGACCGTACTTTGACCTATAATGGTTTAAATTTTGACTTGGATGGAGAGTTGTCTCATTGGCACTCATACCACATCTTCTTATATCTAATCACAGGCATATAAACACAACTGACTAAAAAATTCAATTAAACATACAAATAAATCTGAAAAAGATGCCAACAAAAAGCTGTTGTATTTGATATTAAATATGACAGAGATTCCAATAAAAATTATGGCATTCATCGGGGTAGCCTCTCGTAACAGCAGTAATGTCAATTTTGATATTCATTTTAAAAAGCAATATTTGAATCGTTAACACAAACTATGTAAAAATTTAATAAGATCATCAGTGTCATGGATTTGTTGAGTTTTTAATTTATGTAGGCTTCATTATAAATAATTGCCTTCCATGATAATCTATATTTTTGTAGTATATGTACATTATTATATCCTAAGCATATACAGATGTTGTGTTAAAATAAATCTGCTTTATCCTTTGTCTGTTTCTTGTTTAACTTGCCTATTTTTGCGTTGTGGATGATTTTATGAAGTGAGAATTGGGGTTAACACCACGAATTTAACAGGATAAAAGAGAGATTTGTAAAGCTTTAACAATGAACTGGCTATCACAATGTAAGAAAAGCTCTATTTAGCCAAGTAACAATGTATTTGAGCAAAATGTTACATTCTCCGAAATAAATATGCATTTCAAAATAAATACAAATATTGCATTTAAACAAAATGCTGAGATCTCCGAAATGCTACAACAATAATACAGTTAAAGAAAGGCAAATGTTTGAAATCTAAAACATTTCTATACCTTGCTAATTTATATTCTCAGGATCACTCAAAACTTCTTCCATAGATCTTTTTCGGGAAATATACACGACGCAGATTTTTTTTTATCTGGGAATGGCAGTTGAGTACAGTAACAACACATTATCTTACCTCCTATACTGATGATGAATGATGGAATGTTGGCATTTGTTTTTGTATAGACTAATGGAAGTAGGTTGTTTATATTGAAGACTTGATCACTTTGATAGGCCACTAGTCTAAATGCCACATGTTAAGATAGTCGGTAAGATAAATTTGTTACACAGTGTGATAGTGACCTAATACTATATACATGTATATGGAGTCAGTAAATTCCATATAGGCTTCGAGCTTCGCTCTCACCCCATATGGAATTTACTGACTAATATATATCGTATTGGGTCACTAGAACACTTTGTAACTAATAATGTAAGGCATAAACATTTTACCTTCCCATGATTGTCTTCAATCAAAATACTACAGCGGTTTTATTTTGTCCGTGTAAAAATGTGTTGTCTGATTTTCGCTTGTACATTACTGATAACCGTAAAGACATCTATACTAGCTGTCCATCAGAAATGGAATTCATTCAGATCTTTATTAAAATTTTTGAAAACTTGTCTTGTGTGGTTGCCGTCTCGTTATTTACACATCCATTTATTTGTACTTTTGGAAATGGTATACGTATTTTACCAAAACAGAATTCTTTTATAAATTACTGTTTCATTATTTCTCGCCTTGTATTACTCAATTGACAATGACCAACATTCTTAATTTCTGTTTTTCAATGAATACAGGTAAACTTGTCTTGACAAACCTTTCACGAAATTACAATTTAATTGACATTTTGCATGTAATACAATCTATAAATATAACAATATATACAAAGAAAAATTGTAAAAATTGTGTAAAGTATCATAATTTGTTTGTTCTGAGTTGACGCTTCTTGTATCAAATTTGGTATTAGACAGACTAGAGTCTTTAAAATAATGATCACCTTACTAAAAGTATGGATTACCAATAGCACTATAGGAAGAAGCACCAGTCTTTTCAAGAAGATGTACACAGAGCTAATCAATTTCCATATAACAAAAAGTATAACTTTTGCAACAAATTTCAGACTACAGCAAAACAGCTGTAGTATGTATAAAAATGTTACTTTTAAAATTCTAATAGCACTCAGTAATATCCATGACACACATATGATCGTAAAACATTGAAGTAAAGCCATAGAAGGATTGTTTTTCGCTGAATAAGTAGCTAACATAAGACCGATTATTTTGTGTGTGTAATTAAACACTGAAACATAACGTATATACGTATGAAGTGGATATTTGTAATAGCTCCATATAGCTGTTACAAATGCTATTACCAGATAAACCAGGATCCAGTCTTGGTGCAACTGTGTGTGTAACATTACATTCTTGATATTGAACAACATAGACGCAGACCTGATGTATCCAATCCAAATAAGCAGCAACAGGAGGACAGCCACAGTCTTCATTTTGAACCAGACGAGCTATCAAATACATTTTTTGTAAGTCGGAATACATGTCCACTGTTATAGAATTAAAAACAATCGAAACTGTCTGTGATGTTTAGGTGTTTTTAGTAACAGTACAAGTTTAAGTAAAAGGCTGAGCTAGCATAGTATAAAAGTTGTATATTTTCAAAGTTAAATAATATTCTCGATCATGTATTTTGATAGCCTTCACTTATAAATTTAAAAATCGGTCATAGTGTTTTTCATGTGAAATTTACAAAAGGAAGTTGTTGCCGCCGGTATGTTTGATATTTTATGTGTTCAATAAAAAACGTCTAGCCAGGCTGTCATGCTATTATGATATATATATATATATATATTCACTATGCATAAAGTGTTTTTGTAAGCCGTATTCAATTAAACAGTTGATAAAAGAAAAATGACCATTGCTGTATTTGCCAAAACCTTTCAGAATGTTGGGTCCTTAGTGCTCATCTACTTCGTACTTTATTGGGTCTTTATAACTTTGTTTATTCGAGCGTAACTTATGAGTCTTTTATAAACAAAACGAGCGTCTGGCGTACCTAATTTTATGATGAAATTATTTACGTGATTAGATAAAAATGATCGAAACCATCTTAGGTTTAATATGGAAAGAATTTTCACTGATATGTTTTACAAGATTCTATTGCAGAATTTATTCGAAGGATATTTTTGTTTTGATTCATTTCCTCATTTTTTTTTTAAAAGATAAAACATATTAGATGAAGTATTGAATTCAATTATTATTAATTTAGCATTACATTACCAACAAACTTAGTCAACCGAAATTCAACAAATTGACCGATCGTTCACGAATAATCCGGAAACGACCGAAGGTAATTTCGGATACAGATATTTTCCTATGCGTTTTGTTATTCACAATAGTTGTCCGACTTGAGGTAGGAGATACCAAATATCTATTGCATCTTTTAACATAGGCTTTAACATTTTGTACTTTGATGCAAAGTTAAAAACTAGCCTTCAGCACGCACACACTTCACTTATAGTCAATTTCCAACAAAAGTGTCAGTTTTTCATTTGCCTAGGGTTATTCAAATTATTATTTCCAACCCAAGGGATCAAAGAACAAACGTAGCGTAAAGTTTCCTTGATTTTAATGAGCAGTCATCTGATATTTGTAATGAAAACGTCGTTAGCTTACCAGTTTAAAGAATATCTTCGAAACTAAACACATCAATAAAAAGTGAACTGAAATTACAACTATCAGCAATGTCAGGGTGAACTGGAACACCACATTCCTGCAATTAAAAAGATAAGTATTACTGATAATGAAATATGGTAAACATTTGCTGGGTTTAAATGTAAATACAAATAAATATTCTTATATGAAATTATTTTTCATATTTATTTTTTTTTCCTTAATCAATTTATGACTTACTATCAGTATACATAGAGTTTACCATGGTATTTGTAATTGCAACCTTGTATCAACCCTAGATTCATAGGTCAATTGCAGTAACGGAGCTCCGGGCTGATATCCTGGACATTGTGGAAATAATTACCCTGTAGCTTTACCACACTTGAATTCCTATAAATATTACATTTATCTTAAGCACTTTTGTAGCAACATTCAGGTCCTCTCTATCCTAGATTCGTTAAATAGTAGTTATGTTTGCGTTAAGTGTACATGTACTTGGTAGTCGTATGATTATAGCTTGGAACTACTCACTTTTTCACCATTATAAAAAATGTAACTTTATAAGTGCCTAGTTCTTTTTTAAAAATATCTTTTGCTATATAGATGATATAAATGAAAAGGGAAGAGGGTTGTGATCTCAAACAATTAGCTTTACATTTCCGCGTGTGCATGTGCCTGTCCCAAATCAGAAACCTCGTCAGGTTGTTAGTCAAAACTGTTTCCTATTTTGAAAATTTGGTGTTGATGGCAGGATTCTGATTGTTGTAATCTAAAATTAACAACATGATATATTTTTACTAGTTATCAAAGGCATAACTGTAAAGTATGCTAAATATGCGATATACATGTCTTAAGTAGGCCCAAACAAATATCACTCAATTCCAAATGAAGTTTTATCAAACTTTTTTAAAGATAACTTCAGAAATTGAGCCGATACATTTATGTGTGTTTCTCCGACGCAATAAATTATCTAACGGGCATACACATCCCCCACCCTCTCTGAATTAACTAGACCTTACTTTGAAACCTTTCGGAACTTTGGATCCTAAATGCTCTTCAACTTCGTACTTTATTTGACCAGTTTTACTTTTACGATTCGAGCGTCACTGATGAGTATTTTGAAGACGAAACGCGCGTCTGGCGTACACAATTTTAATCCCGGTAGCTATGATGAGTTTATTTACAACCACTGGGTCGATGCCACTGCGGGTGGAGGTTTCCTCCCCGATGGTATTGTAACGAAAACCGAACGATCGGGCCTTAGTGTTAACCTATAAATGTTTATTCATCAGTGTGTTGCTATAAGAATGTGTTATGTTAGAATGTACGAGTATATAAGAAATAAAAGTTATAACTGGTGACTCTTCTATGGTGGCGTGGTACTCTGGTATTCTTAATACACACTGGTAAAATTGGTTCATCTGGTAAGGTAATGACTCAGATATAAAAGAGGTAGATTGGAGTATAGGTTTTTGTATGGTAACTCTCGATGTTTGTAAGAATAACAGACTCGTTAAATAAAAATCAATTTGTATTAACTTTAAGATGCATTAGATATCAACAATACATACAAATTTTAAATAACTTAACAGTATTCTAGTCTAACAAATAAATACTTTATTAACCTTAGAATCTCGTGAATTAAAGAAAATGGATAGTGGAAAATTACACCCAGAAAGTTTACTAATATTAGTTTGGTAATCGGCAATGGGTAGATCAAGTTCAATGCCAAAAGATAAAGTTTTCTCTCGAGAAGTTATTCTCTAAATGCAACTTGTAAAGGAATTAACAAACCCACATTATACGGACGTAGTCTCCTCGGACATTGTAATAGTGTTGGCTGTCTGGTTACTACTTAGTCTGGTACATGGTATCTGTACGTATATCAAAATCGCTTGGAATTAAAGTGTGTTACTTGCCCAGGGTAAAATCGTGCTGAAGACTTATCTGTATTCTCCGCTGTATTTATGCTTAAGTAAACCAATTTACCGATTTGGTTTACCATTTACCATTTTGGAAAATACCTAAATTACCAAAACCGGAACTGACGTCATTGTACGTCAATTGAAATAAACAATTCAGAAGTTTTCCGAATGTAAAAACATGGAAAGAATAATAAAAAGTTTCAGAGTTAACAATGTTTAAACATAGTTATACAAAAAATATATAATAAGAAAAGTGAATTATCATAAAGATTTAAACAACGTCATTACACAATTTTAGGGGAAACAACTTCCATTTGAGGGAACCGACATTTCGTTACAGTATCACCAGCCCAGTAGTCAGCACTTCTGTGTTGACATGAATTATCATTGATATGGTCATAATTATAAACGAGCTGTTTACAAAACTTTGAATGTTTCGAAATACTAAGGATTATCTAACCCAGGAATAGATTACCTTAGCTGTGTTTGGCAAATTTTGGATCCTCAATGCTCTTCAACTTCGTACTTTATTTGGCCTGTCTAACTTTTATGATTCGATCGTCACTGATGAGTCTTTTGAAGACGTACACAATTTTAATCCTGGTATCTATGATGAGTTTATTTTATAACATATTATGTTTTTTCTGTGTCTTGCACCAATGGAGAGTTTGAGGCTGTTGTAAGTGAATTTTCAAATGGACTAATATGCTATAAAGCAAGCATCTTTTTCCGAGTCTGCCTTTATATAGTGATTATAACATTAAATGCAACAAAAGTAACTTGATTACAGTCGCAACCAAGAGGGTAAAAAACTATATATAGTTGTCATTGTAAACCTCTTACACTTTGATCCCTATCAGGAAAATCTTGACAACAAATTTAGTTTTGTGTGTATTGCTTTTATCACACGAATTCACATGAATCAAATTGAATTTTGTGTATCGGTTTGTAAATTGGAGGCATTTATGTTGTGAATGGTGTTCATGCATATGATATTTGTCACAATAGTATTAAACATCAACTTTCTCTTAATTGTATAAATTATTAACGTATCCGTTGTAAATTATTTGCTATTATTTTTGACAGGTTTTAATTTTAATTATAGTGTTTACGAACAAAACATCAATTAGGAGACCAAACAGATTGCGTCATGAAAGGATATTTCAAAATTTTAGAAAACACACCACAACTGAGACATTGTACTCGTATTTAAGTTAATCGTTTGTGTGTTTATATTTAAAATTCAATCATGAATAACATGTAGGCCTGTGTTCATCGGGAAAATGAAAAACAGATAACTGGGCTGATATGCATAAAACCACTTTAGTTAAGATATCCAATCGTAGTAATAATTTATCGTAGGACATGTAGAAAAATCCGTCTGTTCGGAACAAATCTTTTTATGCCTATCAGCCCTGAAATTTAAACTAGTATATGATATACTATATAAATAATGCATAGCAGAGAGTGATATAGTAGATTGTTACCCCGAGAAAACCGAGGCGAAGTCAAATTATGTTTTTGCTGACAGTCTATAAAAAAAGGTTTGAGCACGACACGTAGAACTTGAGCCTTGTTCTTTTAAATAATTGATGTAAAGTCAATTCATATCGATTTTTGATTGGTCTGCACGAGAGGGAAACATTAAAAAATTGTTTCCCGCTGAGCCTTGTGATAGAATATAAATAACACATAGCTAAGAGGGTGATAGAGCAGGATTTTACCCCGAGAAAACATTGCCAACCGAGGCGAAGCTCTATCACCCTATCAGCTATGTGTTATTTAATTTATTATACTGAATATTCTGCCATTATTGTCTTTTAAATTTCAAATTTTGAATTGAACCTTGATGTAACCGTGCCTAAGATTGGAATCTATGTAAACTAACAATTTTTATCTTGGATGCATCCTTTTACAATTTGTTTTAGACCTAGTTGTATTAAGACTGATAACACACAGAAACGCTCATTTCTTTGGCATATTGCCTTTTCGCCAAATCAAATGGTTTTGATGCGCTCAGACTTACGCAATATCCTCCATCATATGTTTGTCTAAAAGTTTGAGTGCCTTTGTGAAAATTCATACATCTTTAACATGGATCTCGCGCAATTTGTCTAAGGTCTTGCTGGAAATCGCTTCTATACTTTACTTTTTTTTACGGAAATCAATCCCGTTACCAGTAAAATCTTCTCTTTTTCGTTTTACCTGCTTAAAAAGTTTGATGTCATGTACAGCAGAAGCCCAATCAATTGCTTGAGATTGAAAAAATCTGAAATTACAAAAAAAAAAAAAATAATTAGGAGCTTTTGGGGCTGTAACCGATATATCAATTTTTCTCTAAAGATTTATCCTTTTTACAAGTTTGGTTCTTGAGAAATACTAAAAAAATCTACTATTGTTTTATGATTGCAGTCCCTGTAACGTAAAAGTTAACAATACGAATGATGCCCGAATAGTTTGTATATATATTTAAATAGTAATAACATTCGTAATACTACACAGTCAGGCTTCAGACCTAAACATTCGTGCACTACTGCACTTACTAAATCTGGTTGATCATATAATTTTATTGAAAAAAACTTGAATATTGTAATGTTTCAAACTGTACACTAGACTGGTTTAAGTCCTACTTGTTTGAACGAATCCAACAAGTTAAGGTCAATAACGTCATGTCTGATACTAAATACATAAAAACTGGTGTACCACAAGGCTCTATCCTTGGCCCTCTGTTATTTATGTTATACATCAATGATTTAACACTGAACATAGAAAATTCATTAATAGATTTATATGCAGATGATTCTATTTTATTTAGTAAAGGTAATAATGTACATGAGTTAAATGCTAACTTTCAAAATGATATTTATATAATTGAAAACTGGTGTTCGCAAAATTGTATGAAACTAAATGCCAAAAAATGTAAATCAATGATAATTGGTTCAAAACAAAGGCTTTATTCAACTGGGAACAGTTTAGATATCAATATTTCAGATGAACAAATAGAGAATGTAGACTGTAAAAAACTTCTTGGTTTATATATCGACAAAAACCTAAATTTGAATGAGCAAATAGATAAAATGTCATTTACAATATAAATTAGAATCAACTTACTGCAAGAGATAAAAAAAAAAAAGTATTTACCTATGCATATACGTATTATTTATTTTAATGCTTATATTCTGCCATTGTTTGATTATTGTTGCAATATATGGGGTAGTTGTTATGAAAGTGGAATAAATAAACTTAATAAGTTATTAAAGAAATCTTCTAGGGTTATAGTAGAAGCGGACATAATGACATCCTCCAGTTTATTGTTTAATAGTTTAAACTGGTTAAATGTGGAAAAACGAATTCAATATCAACAGGCAATATTTGTATTTAAATCATTAAAGAATATGTTTCCTAACTATTTACAAGAAAACTTTCATTTTACTGATAATCAAAATTATAATTTACGTTCAGCTGATGAAAAACTATTAAATCTTCCGAAAACAATTTTTTTGAAGAAAACATTTATATATTCTGGTTCTCAAATATGGAACAGTTTACCAAATGAAATAAAGATGGGTAATACACTTGTATCTTTTAAAACAAAATCTTACAAATTTTTCATAAATTGTGCAAATTAATATGCTTTTTCATTAATATCGATATAAAATTGTATATTGTGTATATATCATTATAATATTGTATGCTCTTTATAAATATGTTATTATTATTTTGAGGACTCTCAGGAAGATCAGTTTGAACTAATGGGATTATCCTCTTGAAATAAAGATTATTTATTTATTTATTTATTTATTTATTTATTTATTTATTTATTTATTTATTTATTTATTTATGTACAGACGATGCCCGAACGATGTACGAATGCAAACGAAACGCTGACGGAACGTTGTACGGACGCTGACCTAATGATGTACGAACGAAACCATGTACATAAACCATACGATAAACGATAACATAAGCGCTCTTTCATCGTACGTCGTATGGATGTGTGTACATCGTTTCGTTTAGCGTATATCGTATCGTTAAGCGTACATCGTTTTCTTTGAGGTACATAATTTCGTCTAGCGTTTTATGGTATTTATATATAAAAAATTAATTGTGTTCTGTTAGTATCTGCCAGAATATCTTTTTAATATAGGTAATCATAGGCGTAACATTTAGATTGGATGGATATTTCATTTTTTTTTTTTTGTAATCATTCAATACTAGTAAATTATAATTTATCTGACTCTTGATCCAAAATTATTTACATAAAAAGTTTGTAAAAAAAAATAACACTGAAATAAATATAAACAAAGGATAATGTTGATAAATTTAAGTTAGCCGTGGAAATAAGGACATGGTGAACGTGCGGGTAAAGTGCAGTCTACAGGATATGCAGTCAACATTTTCTGCAAATAGCCTAAAGTATAAAGGTTCTTTTAACCTAAATGAACAATATATTTTAGATGGAATTCTGAATTAATCTATTTTTTTTTACAATAGTATATTCGGGGTCTTAAGGTCTGCCTTTTGTTCAAAAGGCTTGTCAATTATTGTTTTGTTGCAATCTCTTTTATCGCATGTGTATTAACATCGAATGAATAACAGTTTTATCTTTATGAGAAATTGTGTTACTTTTTGCATTTCTTATGCATACACGATACATGCCCATGCTTAGCAAATTTCTAATATTTGTATTGCTACAACTCGGTAATATAACACTTTTAAAAGATTGGCAGTCAGCATTATCGAATTATTTCATACGAATTGAAGATGAAAAAATATGAATTATTATATTTTTGATAACGAAGACTTCGAAGAGAGCACCCTTACTTTTAAAAAGTTGGTAGCCCGAGCAGTTGTACAAAGCTAAATTTTCATTGGTTTAAACATTTGTAAAAAAAAAACGTGAACCTCAAATACTAAGAAGAAATTCGATTGGCTGATCTAGACAAAATGTTTCAATCCAGGTGTCTCATAGAGGTCCGCGTTACATATTCCAATAAATTTCATTAGTCGGATTATTTGTAAAACTTTCAATCCAGATGCTCTCAAGAAGTTCGAGTTAGTTAGCAAAATCATCTTATAGAATTGGAAATACAATTATAAAAAGTTTTTAAACCGAGCTTTTCTACGACGTCCGCGTTAATAAAATAGAATTTAGTCCAACATTATCAAAATTATAATTCTTTCAACACAACAAAACTTTCTTCTTCTCAAAATATAATTATACTCTATCAGTATATGTCTCTGGTATAAATGAGCATGTCTTATTAAATAAATATATTCGTAATTAAACCAATTTGTTTTTTACGGAAGCCCATTTAGGAACTTCCAAAAGTATAATTTGAATTCGAAATCACGAATTTAAATCGTTATCACGAATTGTATAATTTGTTATAGCAGATTAAATTTGTGATAACGAATTGGTGGAAATCGTTATAACAGATTTTATAATTCGTAATTACGAATTAAATTCGTGATCACAATTTTTTGTAATTTGTGATAACGAATTAAAATCGTTATAACGAATTGTATAATTTGTTATAACGGATTATATTCGTGATAACGAATTTGTGGAATTCGTTATCACAGTTGTTTTTGTAATTTGTGATTTCGGATTAAAATTCATGATCACAGATTTTAGCTCACCTGACCCACAGGGTTAAGTGAGATTTTCTCCTCACTTTGTGCCCGTCGCTGTTCATTAAATTTTACAAAAATCTTCTTTTTTTAAACATTTTGGCCAAAGTGAAACAAACTTGGCCACAATCAATTTAGTTTTAACGAATTTTATTTGCAAATTTAGAAAAAGGGATTGGATACATTATTAGGGATATTGTTTGTTTTTTTTTGCTTTTGTAAAGGGGCATAACTCAAGAACGGTAAAAGTGATGCCACCCAATTTCAAACTTGATCTGTGTTTTGAAGTGATAAACATTGTGTAGTAGTTTAATAACATTTGGTTGAGGCAAACTAAATGTAGAGAACGGAAACGACAGATTTAGCACTTTGTCTATTTATAAAGGGGCATAACTCAAGAACAGTAGAAGTGACGCCATTCAATTTCAAATTTGATCTGTGTTTTGTGGTAATAAGCATAGTGTATAAGTTTTATTACATTTGGTTGAGGCAAACTAACTGTGACTCCCTTTTATTTTTAAATCGAAAATAATATATAATTGTTAAACAATGTCATCAATTTATAGGGATGGAATTTCGAAAAATCGTAAACAAAAGTACAAAATGCTTTATTTTTGCAGCTTTTTGCGTACATTCTGTACATTTATAGAACAATGCTACATACTAGTATATGTTTTTATTATATAATCATATCTTATATATACCCCCCCCCCCCTCCCACCCCAACTCCCCTTATTTGTCGCATTGCGCGATATTCCCCCAAAACATAAATCGGATTACCTTTAAATTCATATATATTTTTTTTAATCCCCACAATCTAAAACAAACCAATGTCTATTGTCTGAAACAGTAACTATTATTACTCCACATCTGTTTACGCTTGACCGCAGAGATAACACGTATTCATTGGTAAACAAACTTACCGACAAGATCGGCGCGTGCCAACTAATTGAATTCTTATTAGACCAATATAATTATATTAGTTCAATAGACTTTTTATAGTTCAAAGATCTGGCATTATACGCGATTCTCGAAAGAATTTAACAATTAAGGAGAAAGCCTGAATACAAAATAAAATAAGATAATTTAAAAGTAACCAATCTTAAAGTTTTACTACTTAAAGGTCTATTTCCCCCTTCATTTACCCTACAAGAAAATATTTTCCGGGAGCCGTTGATTGAATATCGTCCGAATATTTCCAAAAACGTTCATGTAATATGATGCCGTCATGGGTTAGAACACTGGTCAATCAAATCGGTATATATCATTTAATCTGCTCATCGTTTGGGTCAAGAAAGGGCACCCGAGCCGTGAAGATTAAATGACATATACCGATTTGCTTGTATATATAACATATTTGTGTGTCCAGCTGATGAAGGATAGAAAAGTATTTTTACTTACAATTGAATAACAACAAGATGTGTTCTCCTAGGAATTAACCTTGCAATTGTCTATACCATGGTTTTGCTTAATTCAATAATGCACTGCTAAACAAAAATTAAATAATTATAAAAATAATGCTTAAAAATGATGAAATTATATTGTTTTCAATCTTAAAATATTACAAAAAAATAATTAAACGACTGAACCATTTTTTTAATACTGAGGGACTGATTGTTACAATACTTCCGAAAACAATACGACAATGATAAGAAATTATGACAAACCAATCAAAAATTTGTTAGTAGTGTAAAAAGGCCGATTCTGTGGGACTTTCCATTTTTAAGGAGAAATCTTGCATAAGAATCACAAATCGAGACATGAAATGTAAACGGACAGGTCTTGGGATAAAATACGGATATGGCTTTCCCGAGCAATGGTAGAGACACCTTAAAGAGATGTAATCCCATGGGTAAATACAAGTATAGCTTCTGTAAACAATGGTAGAGACACCCCAAAGGCCGTGTTGCTACAGGTGAGATGGATGAAATTGAGATACATAAAGGGATGGAATCCAAGAGTGACAACATGGATCAAAACACAGAGACTGAGAAAATCAACCTAACCCCAACCCAAGGACCCTTGACCTGCGGTGCCCCACTGAAGAGGAAGAAGGGGCAATTTTGCAGGGTCAAGCCAGGAAGGGGTGGACCCTGTTGGAGGCATAACAAACAGCCACCCCAGCAAGAGAATGGTGACAACACCCCAATCGGGGGGAAGATGATGGTGAAGGAGACCATGAAGGAGCTATGGCAAACCGCGAAGAGGGAGGGTTTAAAGGGGTACAGCAGGCTACCCAAGGAGAAGTTGGTGAAGTTAATTGAGGACAAAACCGCCCATAGTTATATTTGCGAAGAAGTCTTTACCAAGAAGGCGCGGTATTACTAAGTACTCCCGACTGGGGAGAGCTGACCTAATCGAACTGGTAAAGAAGGAAATTGAAAACGCCACCGTTAAGGAGGAAATCAAAATTGTTGACAGGCGTAATGCATTGAAGGGTGTATTTGGCACAATCATCATCGAACCACTCAAGCAGCATGATTTGGAGACTTTTTTCAGGTAAGTTGCAACACTATTTTAAGCACAATCGAGGACGCCCTCACCCAAAAGAATGGGTTGAAGGTGCAGCTGGTGGTGATATTGGAATTGGTAAGGACTATCCCCGCGACAGGAGAGAACACATACGCTACCCCCACCTTCAGATCATTTGTGGTAACAATCACAGAATTATCGGACCTAGACTTCGAGAGTGCAGCCATGATAGCAAAGATCATGGAGAGTATGGCAAACTACATGCGCGAGGGCAGCGGGTTGACATTTGATCACATCGAGCAACTCGAAATCCACCTGAACAAGTTTAAGCCGCTTACCGGCAGCTCCTACATACCGCTCCCATCAGCGCTCGCCAAGAAGAAAGCGGTCGTGAACGTGCAAAACAGGGATGATCGATGCTTTCAGTGGGCGGTGCTGGCGGCACTACATCACGAGGAAGTGGACAAAAATTTCACCAAGCGGGTAGGCCAGTACAAGAAGTGGGAAAACGAGCTCAAGTTTGACGGCATTGAGTTCCCCGTTTCTCTCAAGGCGTCGACAAATCTGAGACCCGGAATGCACACCTAAGCATCAACGTCTTTGGCCATGATGGCGTAAAGAAAGGTGAGGATGAAGAGGAGGATCTCCAAATATACCCCCTGAGAATATCGTGGAACACCGGCGCGCAACATGTAGACCTGCTGTTCCTGACCAACACCACCAATCAGCACTACTGCTGGATCAAGAGCATATCACGACTCTTGAGCTCGCAAGTCACAGGGCATGGTCACGAGCTTTTCTTCTGTCGTAGGTGCCTGAGCCACTTTCCAGGCAGGACACCTTGGACAAGCACATTGAATACTGCGGCCAGAAGAAGGCGGTCAGAATCGAGATGCCGGAAGAAGGAACCTCCGTCAGCTTCCAGAACTACAAACGTCAGATGAGGGTTTCATTCACCATTTACGCAGACTTTGAGTGCTTCACAGAAAAGATGGCCATGGACACCTGCCAGCCTAATCCATCACGGGCCTACACGAACGCGTACCAGCTACACCGACCATCAGGTTTCTGCTACTGTGTGAAGTACGTCCACAGGGACTACAAAGATTCAGTAGTCCACTGCGCGGAGGATGCGGCCAAGCACTTTGTCGAATGCATGGAGAAGGAAGTCAGGGAAATTGGCAAAATCTCTGACAAAAAGCTTGTGATGGTGATGACCGACGCCGACAAAGAGAGCTTTGCGGCGAGCACACTGTCAAATTTGCGATAACGCATTGGATGCAGACAAGGTTCGCGACCACAACCACCTCACGGGTAAGTATCGTGGTGCAGCACACAGCGAGTCCAACCTAACATCCCAACTCCCTAGCTTTGTCCCCATCGTGTTCCACAATCTCAGCAAGTATGATGTCCATCTGTTTGTGAAAGAATTAGTATTCGAGAAAGGGCAGATTAACTGCATCCCAAGTACGGACGAAACCTACATCAGCTTCTCAAAGAAGGTAGATAAGACACTGGAGATGAGGTTTATCGACTCGTGCAGGTTTATGCTCAACTCCCTTGAAACTCTGGCGGGAAATCTGAAGAAGGACAAATTCAAGGCGACGCAGAAGTGCTTCGGTGAATGCTCTGAACTGATGATTAGGAAGGGGGTGTACCCCTATGACTACCAGGATGGGTCCGCCAAGCTGGATGAAACGCAACTACCACCAAGAAGGAGTTCTACAGCAAAATCAACGGCACGAACACCAGTGACGAGGACTATGAGCACGCCCAGCGGTTGTTCAAGGAATTTGCTTGCCAGACGATGTGGGACTATCACAATCTCTACCTGGAAAGTGATGTAGCCATACTGGAGGATGTCTTTGAGAATTTTAGGGATATCTGTGTGGTGAACTACAAACTCGATCCCGCACACTACTTTACGGCCCCAGGACTTGCCTACGACGCGGCTCTAAAATTAACCGGGGTCCGACTGAAACTCCTTTCAGACCCAGACATGCTAATGATGTTTGAAGATTCGACTAGGGGAGGCGTGTCCATGATCTCCCACCGATATGGCAAGGCCAACAATCCATACATGACCAACTACGATGCGGCGCAACTCACCAAGTACCTGACCTACCTGGACGCCAACAACCTGTACGGCTGGGCCATGGCGGAACCCTTACTCACGGGAGATTTTGAATGGATGAAGCCGGAGGAGATCGACCGCATCCTAGACTACCCGGACGATCACGAGTATGGGGTCATGGTGGAATGTGACCTAGAGTATCCCCAAGAGCTCCACGATGATCACAACGACTACCCTCTGGCACCGGAAAATGTGAAGATCGCGAAGGTGCACAAACTGACGCCTCATCTGAACAAGCGCATCAAGTACACCCTTTACCATCGAAACCTAAAGATGTACATGGCACAGGGGATGAAGCTCACCAAGGTCCATCGCATCATTGGATTCAAGCAATCAGCATGGCTCAAACCGTACATCGACAAAACAACGGGCTCAGGGCCGTGGCAAGAACGACGCCTTAAAGGATTTCTCCAAGCTCATGAACAACTCAGTGTTTGGTAAGACCATGGAGAACATCCACAAGAGGATCGATGTCCGGCTGGTCACGACCGTCCATATCCTATCCACACCTCCAGAGATCACGCGTCGTTTTTAAAACTTACGTCGGACGGGTTTGTGTAACTCTTCTGCTAATTGATCCGACCAAAGAACTTTTTTTTAAACACCCAGCGCGGATCGAGCTTTGGTGCCGATGATGGGTCCGACGATGCTGCGGTCCATGCGTGTGGTAGGGTTGGGGATGGTGTTGAGCGTGGCTAGCATAGTTTTGTCACAGATGGAGTTGCGCGCGGTCGTATCTTTGTGCTGGGCGTAGCAGAGATCGTGGTGATACACGGCTTGGTCAACTCGATTGATGGGTTTCGACCAAGCCTTCGGGATACCATCAGGGAGTAGTCGCTTGCTAAGTTTAGTCCCCGGTCCGGTGAAGTTGTGCCCGGGCAGATGCATTTCCATGGATAATCGGTTGATTAGCTTGTTCATGAGCCCGGCGCTGGTAGTAGCAACAAACTGAGACTTTTTGGAGCCACAAACGGTACAGGTTCTAACCTTTCGCCGCCGCCCGTTGCTGGTCACTACCTCCCCGGGGTTCGCTGTGTCAGTATTCCTACGACATTTCATGCAGAAGATCATCGTTAATTTTTTTTTAAAATGGACGACGAAGACATTTCCTACAGTACTGTTGCCAATGCCCCCACAAGGAGCAATCATTACCTACTACCCCAGCGATCGATCAGAGGACTGATCATCGGGAAGTCTGACTGTGGTAAGACGACACTGCTGAACAACCGTCTCTTGCGCGAGGAATGGCTCGATTACGATCGCCTGTTCGTCTTCGGGAAATCGCTTCTCCAATCCATATACCAGCTACTGCAGTGAGCGCTGGGAAAAGGCTTTCTTAAGGAGGTTATCCGAGACCTTCTGCGGTGCAAGGGCAGGTCACCCTACTCATTGATCGATGTGGTTGGCGCCCTTTCGCTTCCACCTCAACTTAGTGGAATCGACACTTTCTTCTTCGAGCAAGGGAGCGATGTGCCAAACCCCCGGGAACTTTACCCCAGCCGCAAATACCTCATGGTGTTCGACGACTTGATGCTGAGCAAGCAGAACACATGTGAGGACTACTACGTGCGCGACCGCCACAACAACGTCGATTGCTTCTACCTATGCCAGAACTACTTCAAACTGCCCCGGCAATCGATCCGAGAGAATGCTAACTTCCTATGTCTCTTCCAGCAAGACGCCAAGAACCTCAACCACATTCGACGTGACCACTGCAACGATCTCACCAAGGAGAAGTTCGACACACTGTGTAAGCATTGCTGGTCCCAGCCATATAGATTCGTGACCATCGATCTCACGAGCCCCAAAATGGCCGGCAAATACCGATGCAAATTCGATGAGTTCTATGTGGTGTAATATTAATAATGGATTGTTACAGAAAT